TATATATATTTTAAATATTTTAAATATTAAATGTTAATTATAGTAATAATATTTTAATATTTAATAAAATATTTTATTGTGATTAGACGGTTAAAATAAACAATTATAACCATCACAATATGATGCAACAATATCACCTCAGATGTAAATTCATCTATACGAAGTTTGCTTTAGGTATCGTTCAGGTATTTAGTAATTAGAAACAGTGATTTCATAAACATATGCACAAGAAATTCAAGGAGAATGTTACACAATTATTGTTCCTAACTGAACCATAAGCTTTCTTGGCATCTTTAAGTACCTGGTGTACTGCCCTACTTAACTTCTTACTTTTTTTTCAGTTGGTACGTGAAGAATGAAAAATATCTGACCAGTAGTTGATCAGCTTAGTGTGAATTTAGACTGAGGGCTACTGTGATTTCATCTACGAATTCAATTAAGTTTGCGCGAAGATTGTTGGATAAATTGTTGAAATGCTGTACTTCGATTATAACTACAGCCGGTTTCAAGGCTCCTTTTTTACGACTCGTATGAACGTGTAACGCAACAGTGACGTGGAGTGTAATTAATTTTTGTGAGCTTTTGTGGAAGGCATTGTAACAAAGAGATTAATTACCCATTCACGATTAATTAGAACCAGATTTAAATAAGACCACGTACTTCGCAAAGAATTATACTGTTTCCTGGCGCGAGAACACTGTTGTCAGCCTTGAAATATTCTAATTTTTACGACACATCTCTCCTGTGAATGAATTTTAATACACGCGTAGAGTGGATAATAATGTTTGCCGTAACTGTACAGCTTGCAAATGCATATCAACAACATACCTTAGCGGTTCGCGTAACACAGATTTGTTCGTAAAGTCCGATTGCATTACTGGTTGACGAATTCCATACTTGTGGTCGCAGTAGCCAGCTGATTCTCAATAGACAACATTCAGATTGCATGAAATGTGTCAGCTGTTTGACACCACATTACCAGAGGCCACTCATGAGTGGTAACAAAATGCAGACACGTGAAAAAAGAAAAGAAGAAGAAGAAGAATGAGGATGCAGGAGTTGTGACGTCGTTGAGCGAAAAATAAACAACAAAACAACATAGACAGCGACTAATCTCTGCCAAAACTGAACTACATTTCTGTCTGACAGCTGTGACCAACCAAAGAACCAATGAAAAATCTAACTAGGGCCTGAATCTTGCACAACCGCAAGACGACGTCGCTTGGTAGGTTAATCATCGCAGCCTACGAAACGCGCTGCTAGAAATAGTAAACAGTGCTATTTTATGATAAACACTGAATAATCAGTAATGTAATTTATTTAATTTATTTTAGATGTAGATTATATACTATGTATAACTTGAATTATACACCAACAACTTTGGGGGTACAAAGTTGAAGAGAAATTATATCTGGGGGGTACGAGAACAAAAAATGTTCAATACAACTGCCTTACATTGCCTGACTGGGTGCGTTCGGCTTCATCTTGGCTGCAAGCCTCGGCGTTTTCAGGCCTGCTCTGCTGCTGGGTGGATGATCCGAATTGGCAATTTATTTTATTTTGTTTTATTAAACGAAACTTCTGTTGGATTGCTGCTTCGAAGTCGAGTTCGCACTGCGGATCAAAGGGCCTAGCATTAATTTGCCGCTCCTGCTGCTTAAAGGTCTGTAAGACGTCTCTTCATCGCGTTTGCTATTATCGATACAGTTTCGTAAACAATCTCAGTTGTCGCGTTCCTGCTTTTAATCTACTTTTGATTGTAGCCGGACATGGATATGTCTAGGGCGCGTCATAAACTACTTTGAAAATGGAATCCACTAAGGCTTGAACATCATATTTTATCGAAATTCGTTCGACTGAAGAACTGCTATGCGCTGTCACAACCAGGTTAGATGTTGTAAAGTCCCCAAGCCATATCACGCGTATCGCTTCCGTTGTTGTGATTGATTTCGACGTAGACTGCATCATTTATATTCTGCACCAGAAGGATAAGTCCATAAAGTTAAAACAGTACTGGAAGAGGCATCATCTTTATGGATCATACATTAACGAATACAAATCATCAAATAAACTCGGTGAAAGTGAGGAAGACCATCTCAGATTAAATCCAGTATCAGCGGAAATAATGGCAAAAGTCTGGTTACTGTTCGTGACTATCAAATTGTGTCGATGGAGCTTAACAAATAGCCTCAAACTATGATCTAATACAGTATATTCCGGTTAATTGGGCCATCGGTTCATCGGGGCAGCTGTTTATTTGGGATAAATCTTAAAGAACAAACCTTTTTTTAACTCTTTAGATGGAACTTTACATAACTGGGGCAGGCGCTTAATTGGGTCAAAGTGTTTTTAGTCCCGATGTATCCCGATTAATCGGAATTCACTGTACTTTCACGGTCAACGGGATTAATAAAATTCTCTCGTGCTTAACCTCGCCGATATTTCAGGGGACATCTCTGTCCCAGTCTTCACATCACACGCCCTGGCGATAGGGACAGTGGTGATCCCTGAAATGTCGGAAACTTTTTAGCACGTGACATGGTTGATAGAACAAGAGGATTTTTGTTAAGCTCCTAATGTTGTTATCTTCGAATCCGTAACTCTTGATAAACTAATTTATATTTCTTATTCAGAACTAAATGATTATAAATATCAGTCTCATTTTATTCTTTATACCTATTATTATTACTATTTAGTGTTCTGTGTGACGACAGGTCCATATGAACAGGATCCTTCCATCCTTTTCTCGGACTGGGACCTGTTCATATACGTTCTTGGCAGATGATCCAGAAGTGGTTTGCCATTGCCTTCTTCTGCGTGTGAATGGAGTAATTGTTGGGATGCCACGGAGGAAAACTCCGTGATGCCTAGACCACGGCCTTGCCCAACACAAGTTATAAATTCGGGCACCGCCGGGAATCGAACCCGAGACCCCAGGATTACAAGGCCAGCGTTCTAACCGCTAGACCACCATGGCTATTCTTCATACCTACAGATTTATAAATTTTGTTTTTACACGTATGTTGCTCGAAAATGATTGTAGTCAAATAATGAAATTTGTTCAAAGAACGTAATTGAGGAGCTTTTTTGTTTCTTAAAATATACCAATTACGCAAAATATTAATCATACGTCTCAAAACAAGCCATTTCAACTGCTGACATGCCAATTCATGTCGTCTATTGCCATTCCAAACAGACTGTACTTCTGTACCTAGGTCACCGCAGCGCATCGTGTCCACGAGTAGCGTTGCAGGGGTAGACGCAGGTTTTGTGAAAGATTATACAGCGCAGTCGTTAATGCCCACCCCAGTCCCAGCGGACTTCTCTTGGCACACCATCAATAAGGAAACTGTCATGTCCAAAAAAAAATTTACATTATCTGCTACAAAGCTCCCGAAATTGTATTCCAAATATGTTGTACTCTTTTGGGATTATCTGCAAAAAAATCAATGTATCATTTTCTGCAAAATTTTATGTATGGTGGGAGGACAAGTGTGTATTGGGCATTCTTGAGGTACGCGAAAAACATTACAAATTTCCACTCCTTGTCATAACACGTGCTCCTTCTGTTGACCTTTTGGATTTTCTACGTGGTGCTGGATAGCGAAATCTGCTAACAGTGTATTGCAAGAGGATTTTAAGGTACTATCCCAGCATATGCCTGTGACGACTAAATAACACAAGGATCATCTTAGTCTTCATCTCCAGCGTCTCCAAAGCACGATGTAGAAAGTGCAGGTAGCCCTCGATTTGCGCCGATTCAGAATAACGCCGATTTTGAAATCAGAAAGTCAAAAAGTGGAACAAATATATTTTACTATTATTTATAACGTTTTACAATGTTTCTCGTACTGCTTCTTATACTAAATCGTAAGCCCTCCACCACACCCTGTCCTGGGCCAACAAAATCCAGTCTTCTTCGAGTCCTATCTCCCATAGATCCCGCCTGAGATTATCCTCCCATCTACGTCTAGGTCTCCCCAGTGGTCTCTTCCCCTCAGGCTTCCCAACCAATACCCGGTGCACAACTCTTGTCCCATCCATGCGCGCTACATGCCCCGCCAATCTAATTCTTCTCGACTTAATCACCCTGACAATACTGGGGGAGGAATACAGATTTTTAAGCTAATCATTGTGCAGTTTTCTCCATGCCCCATCGTCTTCTCTCTTAAGTCCATTGAAAAATCGATAATTTTAAAAATTATACTTTCAGTTTTACACATAAAAATAAGTGGGCAAGTAATATTTTTGGTACAACAAAACAATTTCACATCATGTCAACTAAGACATAAGGATTATTACGAATTTCTTAGTTCGTTATAACGAGAATCAATGATCTGGTGCGATGGTGCGCCAATATTTCAGAAAATAGCAGATTGAATATCCGACACAACATTGTACTACCAACACAGTAAACAACAATATACGTCAGTAGTATCTAATACGACAGAAAACTTCCACGTTGACGCAGACTTAGACAGGACATACGTAACGTATGTCATATCATACATTGCGTAGAGGCGAATACTCGGACTATGTCAGCACTTTTCCACAAGCAATGTGAACCGTGCTGAATTTACAGACGTGCGAAACTTTCTCAGGGACATACCCCGAGGTATCACACTTAAACGTATTCTATTAAAAAGTTGACATTATCAATAGCACAGAAGGTCTCAGACTGTACGAAAGCTTACCAAGTCACGCTACAACCTGTATCAACAGGCTTAACTGTGCCACTATTTACTGACGTCTATGATCAAATATGGAACAGCACCTAATAACCAATGTGCTGCTATTTACGGAATGGAACCAAAGTAAAATAATAATAATAAAATTACTAAAGATGTCCAACTCATTGTCAGCAGAAACCACCGACCAATGGGAGTTACGTAAGCACACAGATAACACCTTTAGCTCTAAAACTTGTGCTAACATTAATTCCAAAGTATTGTATTACCCCCTTACTTTCATCAGAAGCCACAAAGACCTTAAAATCCTACCTGGAGTTTGAGGATCCCCCGCGAGAGCTATCACAAGGCAGAACCAGTGGAAGACAGCGAGGAGCCAGTTGAAAGGACGCTGGAACACTCCTCCTGTGGACAAATAAGACTGGACTCATCAACCATTCGCATGGCTCGTCTCCACGTAGGAAATCTCTGTTCTTACATTTCCATGGCAAAGTTTACGGCAATTTATAAACTTTAAATCGCGCATACAAACAAAACTGTTCACACACTGTTTGTATGTATGGTTTTATATATCAATACACTGCACTGTATGCAAGGATTTAAGCAATTTATACATTTGAAAAACCATGAAATTTTTACTCCAACTCGCGGCACAAGTTTATCTCACCGACTGCTTAACACAGAAGATAAATCCTTATCTGGAGGGTCTGTATACTTCTGACTGAAGGCGTAGTTGAAGAGCGAAGCAGTCCCATCACGACAAGGACAACATGAGTTGAAACATCATTTACAATTATTAATTGCGACAAGCGAACGGGGTTCTCAGAGACAGCGCTGGTGTGACTGGGAAACTGTCCCATCTGCTGAGAAACATCTTGGGGTCGGATGTCGTCGAGTTCCATGTCGCTGGGCTACTAAACGGACACAACGTACCCTAGCGGTCAGAGTTGGGAGAGGTCAAAGCATGTTTAAAACAATGAAATCCTATGCAGGACCACAGTAACGAACAGCGTGTATTGAGATAATCCTCCGACCCGGCAAATCTTCTGAAAGATAATTGAGAGGATTGCCGGTATCAAAGAAGCTTGAATCCCTCCCCTAAACTATCACTGTAACCCTGTCGTGCCACATTTCGTCGACATCCATTCATGTGAAGGGTAACGAGAGATAGAAATACACGATAGCCGATTAGAATTAATTTATTCTGGGTATATTCAAATATTTCGCCAAGGTTATTTAAGGTCTAAAAAGAACTTTTGACGTAAGCTGTTGTTTGCCAATTTGAGCACTATCACGAAAATTTTAGTAGTGTCCTAAGGCAGAATATCCTATTCCCGGGTCAAGATCTGAACTCGGAACCTCCGTGTACGAAGCGCGATATTCTTTGGGTAATTGACATGCTTTTGAACCAAGCTCTACTCTTAACTGTCACTGATTCGTTGGAATTTAAGGACAGAGTTTACCACATAATCATTGCGAAAATTCGAGGTCTTGATATTATTAATTAATGAGTATTATTTCAGTTTAAAAATTATCGTAGAATGACATTTTCGTAATTCATTATAATCATGGAAGAGGTCTAGGCTTTATCGATCCTTGACATCGCTGACTCAAAACCTGGCGACTGTACTGTTGACATGAGATCGCCCTTCTTGCCACGAAACACAGATACCTACAGATGTGGTCAGATAGGCAGCGTTTCTGTAAGAGCAGCTGAGCATGAAGCCTTCAATGCAGTACTCAGACCAAAACAACTACGCGGAACCTTAAATGCTTACATGTAAGCTGGCTCATTTCCTGATTTTAGGATTATGGAAACAAGCTTTCCGACTAGAAATTCATATCCTTTTGGATAAGGATGTTCTGCAAGGCGGAGACCCAACGCGCAACGTCAAAATATGGTCCACCCAGTGAAATATTACAATTTCGGGAATTGCTTATTCAAGTGTTGCTGTTTCTTTAATCATGGTAGCAAAATAGTCCAATCTTAGATTCCAAAAGCATTCAGAACCACAGATCTCATCTTATTACGACTGGAACTGGCGGACGAGGTGCCAGGAGTAAAGCTTCAGAGAGAGAGAGACCTAAGGTACAACAGGTGATCAGTCAGAGGCAGAGGAAAATGCAGGTAGTCAGAAGATTATCTCTAGGCCCAACCTGTGGGAGTTCCTTGTCACAACGGTAAGGCGTATTCTGAGGCTGTGGGTACAGTGGACGGAGTTGAAGGCAATGCAGGGACAAACATCTCCTCTCCATAAACAAACAGCATCATATTGCGAAATGTTACACGGCGCCTCACAGTGCAACAGAATCCTTTGAACAAGAAGTTATTAGTTACACAATCCAATGATCCGGCGCCAGGGGTAAACTTGTCATGCTCCTTTGAACGTGCCAAACGTTTCAGTTCTTCACTCGCATTTACCATTGAAACTTAGGCCTGCAATTAGTTAAATGAAAACACTGTTCCTCTCGTCGAGCTACGTCTTAGCTCCAGTAATTCAATGTATTCCGCTGGTCTCCTCAGAGACAGAATGTTGAAGTTACGCCCTACACTCGTAACTTTTAAGTCAGTTACCGTCGTCCCTCAAGAGACGGCTCTGAGTCTGTCCGCGATGAACAGCTTCGTTAGGTTAACTAATGCTCGAGCCGAAATTTAGAAGCTCACTTACGAGGTAATAATTTACAAGCGAACACGTTACCAGTACGAAATCCCATTATGAAGTTCAAGGGTACACATTTTTGTCTTATTATACCGAATGTCAAGTACAGTAGATTCCGGTTAATTGGGGAAAAATTTATAGTCTCGATGTGTTAAAAATTAACCGGAATCGACTGTATTTACAATCTAAACATTTCAACGCCAAAACCATCAGAAATCGTGATACAAATTCAATTAATAGAAAAGATACATTAATTTTAGTTAAGACGAATAAAGAACGCAGGCTGTCTGTAATATATAGCCAGGAATTTCATACCTACTACCATTACTACCTCAGACTACGTTTGTTAAGTGTGCAGCTATGAATTGGTAATAAATACTTCTGACTCACCCTGTATATAAACAGGGAAAGAATGAAGTAAAAGGAGTTTTTTTTAGGCTGTAGGGCTTCAAAACGATATATTAATTAGTGCTACACGATTTTTAAATATAACAAAGTTATTAAGTATTTTATAAAAACCACTTCAGAAATCTTCATGAGGAACTTAAAATTAATTGAAATGTGTTCGTATCGACTGTGCAACAAACAATTGTTTGTGTCTGAGATATGACTTCTCACTATTGCGAGCCTTCTGGGCTGTTGCGAAATGTAGTCTGGTAGAAGTTTACCGACGTTTCAGTCGTGCCTCCTGCTCCCATCAAACCTGATTACAGAAGCAGCAAGCTACCTTTAAAACGTCAGTAAACTTCTACAAGACCGTAAGGCGTAATAACTGAGAAGGCGATAATCTTCAATTGACTCTTTCCGAGATTTGATTGATTTATTATGGAATTTACCTCACGTCCTTTATTCGGTTTCATTTGCAACAATTTCATTCACCTTGACGGAAGAAAACATTAAACTAATCTGATATATCTAGAGTGTTCCTCATATAAATCGTTAATCTTAATAAAAATACAAAATTATCACGTAAACTCCCACACCGTAATTTCCTCATTAACGTCTATGCAACAAAACAAATGTCTGAAACAGGAAGGCGGTGGTAATTTGTGGCATTCGGATGACATCTGAATTACATTGCCTCCTTATCTCTTATGAAGCCTACGCTTTCTAACGAATGGGTATACGTTAAGGCATTCTACGGAAGCAACGTACTTATAAATCATAAACAGATTAAGTCAGATTGCCGTAATACCCAGTTCGTAACATGTAATATACAGCTCGCAAGCCCAACACGGTCCGAGATGGCTTCCCAAATATATACATTCGTTCATTATCAACTATTTGATGGGACCGTATTAGCGAGTCACACATTTCAACGCAGACCACTAACATTCCGACGGCGTTCTCAATACCACATGCCATGTACGCATTCCATCGAAGTCACGATTGTCATTTAACATGGACCTCGCATAAGCCGAGCAATGCTACTCAGTTTGGAACGAGAAAATTCAGACTAAATGATAAGGCAACTTATTTTTCAGCACATCTAAATTTAAAAACAAGATAGTATTCAAAATTATATTAAAATTGGCCGTCAATCACAATATAAGATAATTAAATGATTAAAAGATTAAAATATCATTTTTCATTCCGTATCGAGTACTCTACTTACATGTGGAACATTTACGACGACATGTTTCGGCTATCATAGAGCCGTCATCAGGTGTTATGTTATAAACTTTATAACTGAATTACTGATTTTTAATGATTTTTAGTTTTCATTTTTCTTATCATATAAGAAAAATGAAAACTAAAAATCATTAAAAATCAGTAATTCAGTTATAAAGTTTATAACATAACACCTGATGACGGCTCTATGATAGCCGAAACATGTCGTCGTAAATGTTCCACGGAATGAAAAATGATATTTTAATCTTTTAATCATTTAATTGTCTTATATTGTGATTGACGGCCAATTTTAATATAATTTTGAATACTATTTAAATAAATCACAATATGACGCACCTACAATATCTTAAAAACAAGAATTCTACCATACTAAGAGAAAAATAGTACAAAGAGGGGAGAAAACTGTTGTTAGAAAGACCAATAACTGTAATTAAAAACTGCCAGTCAGGAAGACGTTATGCCTCGGTCTGAGTCTACTGAACACATCGTAACATCTGCCTTAAAAGACAGCGTGTAACTGAAAGGCATTATTAGATTTGTTACCCGTCTTTATGGTTCCTCATGGTGGGAAGGGTGTGTGCTGTCACATTCCTTCATCCCCCACGGTCCACCATCATCTTCAAGTAATCCTTCATGTCAAGACATAATAAATATTCTTCACATTGTACTACAGACGAAAATGTGGCCAAAGAACTGACGAAGTCACACTGTGATAAAATTCGCGAGCTAATCGTGCTTCGAGGCAGAAGTGTAAAGAAATAAGTTAACAACTAACTTTAATTTAGTTCCACAACTAAAACAAAACTTGTAAGTAGTTCTCCCATGAATGTTATCTTTGTCTTGTAAAGACTGCGTTTAATTCTGTTATAGCACTGTAGCGAACGGATGTCCTGAATATTTACAGGTTTTATTGGCACGTCGTTCTTGTATTCAGAAACTAAAACCTCATTTTCAGTACGTAAAATCATTTGTGGGACGTTCGCTGGAGCTCTAACATCCACGTATTCAATTGATTATACGCCAGAATGCCTGACTTCAGCTCTACCTGCTTTGCCGGATTTCCGTAAGTGGAAATACGGCTACTTGTAGGAACTCGAAGTTTACCGTGACCAA